GCTGCCACAGTGGCGGCGATGGAAAGGGAACGCGTGGGCTTCTATGGGTAATGGATTGGGATTGCAAAGTGGCCTTTTGTTAGAGGAGCAGACTAGCTGTGACTCGGAGAGGATAATGTACAATGAATAGACGACAACACCCTCAGCATTTACTTGCTAAACGCCGTCGTGTTATACTTATCTCGAGACGACTCCATTCTTCTTATCGAATTTGGTTTCAGTTCCTATAGCTATATTATACTTTCTAATTCCTATGACGTAATTTAGTTTACTGCTATTATTGTTCATCCACCAATAATGAAATTGATTTATGCGGCTAAACAAGCACATTTATAAGTTTATTTATGCTTTCCGTGCAATGCATCATTAAAAGCATTTCTTTTGGCTTTCAACACGAATCGTTGTTAAATAGTTTACGACATCCCCCACTCAAAATGGCATCATTATCATAGTCGATTATATACTAATATCGGACAAACTCATAAGATTTTAACAAGATGATAACATATTATTGAGAAAAAAATATTTAAATTAAAAGAGAATTCAAAATTTTGGGGTGATCGCCTTACCAACTCCTCAACCCATCCCTGCTATATGATATGACAACACAATATATGTACAGACAAAAACATTGGGCATTCAAAAAATGAAGTTACTCAAGTCACCAAAAATGAACGTCTATGGAAACTGTTTGCTCACTGTATCAGGATGCAATTACACAAATCACTTGCTTTTTTTCTAAATGAGTCTCACATTTATCGCAGCTGGTCCAGACTTCACCTCATGGAACAACCTAAAAACAAAATCAGAAGAATGCCTAGGATTAAAATAAGTGGCTTCTATTATTTCTTTTTGAATCTTAGCTATTCGATAAGTAAAAGATCATTGATGAGAAATTTTACCTGATCATTGCATGAAGCATCAGTTACCAGAGTTTCCAGCTTCTTTGAGCTACATTCACTGCTAGTCTTTCCACCTTGTTCTTCGTCTTCGAAGTTCTGATCCGACACTTCTGCAAAATCACCAACGTACCTGTTATTCAATTATTTTGATAGCTGAAAGATATCACTTCAAGCATCTCTTCTTTTGCAACCTAGAGAATCCATTGGTAGACGTTGTGTACTAAAAACAAATAAACGCATAGAACAATCTTGTGTTACAGAACTGACCGGATGATATATTTTTCCAAAGTTGCATGACATTTAACAGCACACCCATGATTGCGAGAAGCATACGAATATGCGGACTAACTGAATTGAACTCATGTTCAAATTGTAAGCTTTAACGCTCTGAACTGTATAGAGAAGGATACTAATCATACTATATCATATACACCGCAAACAAATAATAGAAACAAAGCATGATTTTATTAGAGGTGAAAACATAGGTTATATGACTTCAACTTAAACATAGGCAAATCAACTTTAAAAAGTCTAATATTGAGCAATCTAAGATTGGATGAATTAACTCCACATGCACCTAAAACACGAAAATTAGATAATATCTTTATGAACACACCATTATATTTAATAGTCTGAGTGATTACAAGATAATATCTGTTTGGAATCTTTCTTAGTCATTGACAACACACACGCACCAAAATATAACTGCTGCAGGGATTTGTTCTACTGTCATACGCTTGAAAGCGTTTAAGAAGCTGATAAACTGGAATTGCTTTCTTTCACATTTACAATGTTTGTTATTACCTTTGGATGAAGCATTATCTTGAAGACTACAAGAGGCTAAAACACCACAAGACTTTGAACCAGATCTGAAGTGCTGGATCCAAGGACTCCCCACAAAAGAATGAGAGCCATCTCTTTTATTTAGTAGAAATCCAGGTCTTTCAAGATTGATCTTCTTCCAGCAACCACCTCGAAGAACCTTAAACTGCATCGAATATTGGAAAATGCAGAAAATAAGAATCGACATAGGGAATAGAGAGGCAATTCCATCATTATCAAGAAGCAGAGATCAAACTCCAACCTGGCCTGAAGAGATACAATGTGGTTTCCTTGATGATTTTGACCCTGAAAATTTCTCCTTTGAGTTCCAGCCAAGGGAACTCGTGGAATCATATAGTTGGTCAACAAATGATGCTTCCATGGATTTAAGGTATAAATTGTGCTTCTCATTTGTCCATTCTGTAGAGGTGGATTCTTTCATCAGAGAATCCTATTGTGTTATCATTAACAGCCATGATTAGTAAGTTTTCCCAAAGGAAACATATCATTTTGTAAAAGCGGGTTAGAAAGCAGTAAACAACCCAGATTTTAAAAAGAAAAATACATAATTAAGGAGATCAGATTAGAGCCAACTACATCTATAGCATCAATACCATGAAATATGTGATGAAAAAAATGTGAATTAGCTAATTAAATTCTTGAAGAAATAAAAGGGATAATCAAATTTTTATGCTTCCAAGTTACAAATCCTCAATTAATATTACCCATCTAACAAAGCTACATGGAAGTTAGAAACATCTAATGATAAAAACTAGCATTTTTTTTCTTAAAACCTTAGTTTTAAAGCTAAACGGAAACGTTATAAATGAAAATAAAAAGGATATGCATGATTGAAAATGATAATAATTTACCATGTGAACAGTTTTTTTCTTTACTAAACATCATATGCTTTAAAGTGAAGTTTGGAAATTTAGCTGATTTAAAAACTAAATCCATACCACTCAAGTTTACACAGCTTTCCTCAAAAAAGAAAAAAAAATCCATGACTCAAATTCATTCATGGATAAATCAATAACCATAAAAGATCTAGAACGAAGAAGAAGAAGAAGGAGAAGAGGATGTACCAGGCTTGGATTTTGTCCATGGTGAGCAAACTCCGGTGATCTCTGAGGAGTCAACTCAGAGGCAGAAGCCTCTGAACTAGTCCGAGACTCAATTCTTCTAAAACCCTCCATGCAGAAAAACCAAAAAGAAATATCCCGAGTTGAGAAGATTAGACTAAGAAACAATTTTAAATTTTTCCTTTTAGGGAAAAGAGAGAAATATCTGAGAATAAAAGATGGCAGGTGAGATGATATTAGGAGGTGATGTTTAAGGGGAGGAGGGACGAAAGAACGGTACAGTTGTCTTCGCCTTTACACGTGTCATGGGATCTTCTTTCTTAGGGTTAGCGAATACGGCAGTGAGATATTTATTGGCTCTTCAAAATATCTAATCTTTATTTATTTATTTCTTCGAACTTGGAAATAAGATTATTTCGTTATTTTCGTTTTCAGTATAAAATTATAGGTAAAAATACATCGCAGTTCCTTGTATTTTTTAGAAAAATTAATGTAGTCTTCATATTATTTTTTTCTCTTAATGTGGCCCTCCAACTCATAATACAAACCCAATTTGGTCATTTGACCAACATTTTTTGTCGTTTGATCATTATAGTATTGACGTGGCAGTTCACGGTACTGACGTAGTAGTCACGGTACTAACGTAGTAGTTGATCTGTCATGTTATCCGTCATATTATTAACAACCGTAGATTATATCATGTCAACACTATAAATCATTATGTTAATATCGTAAACTGTCACGTTAGTACCGTAATAGCAAACGAAGAAAAACATTGATCAAAGTGTTACATTAAACTTATTTTCTAAATTAAATGACTATATTAAGATAAAAAAATAATACTATGGACATATTAATTTTTTTAAAGTACTGAGACCTCTAATATTTTTTATCAAAATTAAATTGTGTCGACTATTTTGTCACCAGTATACTTTTACATTTTCGTTTTTATCGTTTAAGTTTTCATTTTAAAATTATATTTAATTTTATGTTTTTATATCATCATCTATTAGATTTAATCATTAATTTAATAAAAAATACTATAATACAATATAATATAATAATAATTTTAATTTTTAAAATTTATATTTTACGTAAACTATAAATTCTAATCGCTTAAATTTCTTTCTCATTTCAAAAACATTGTTTATCTACTTTTTCATCTTTGATTGATAAATAATGACTTTAAATTTTAATTTCGGTAGTAATCATTAATATTTTTATTTTTTTACATCACACTTTTATTTTATCTAAATTAAATTTTGGTGAATAATTTATTTTATTTTTTAATTATTAGATTTGACATTTTTTCAACTAATTAAAAATGCTTTTTCAATATACATTTGTATATTTATTTATTGATGCGACTAAATATACATTTGTCAATAATTTGTCAATAATTTAAATCTTATGAATGAATTTAAATAGACAATATACTTTTGCCAATAATTTTTTCACGTCAATCAACTTTGATTAGTTATATATTAGTGGTTTTTCAATAGATTTATTTTCTTTTATAATTTATTTATTGATGCGACTAAATATAATTGCATCTATATTTTGTACAATTTTTTTAGTTAAATTTTTAACTTCTTTCTGATATAGTCTTTTGTTATTTTAAGGTGATAATTTCCTGTATTAATGATTATATAAAAATAATTTTCTCATTCTATATTTAGTTTATGATTATGATTATAAATTTTTAATTTAACTTTATATGTCTTCTCTTTAAATAAAATTAACGATTTTTATAAAAATATTAAATAAATCTTGAATATTTAAAAATATTATCAATCTGTTGACTTCATATAATATTATTTACTAACAAATAATAAAATATTTAATTTAATAATAATAATAATAATAACAAACCAACTTACTGAAATAAAAAGATAAAATCGTGTTAACCACCAAATTTCTTTAAATTATCAAACTAACTTCTTCCTTTCTTAGTTTCTCTTCAAAATTTTCTTTTGGTTTTCCTCTTGTTTATCCATGGAATTGATGTCTTTCTCATTATTTTTTTTACAAAAACCGTTGATATTTATTCAAGCCAAGCAATTTTAAATAGACAAAATATGGAATCACATATGAAGGGACAATTAACTTCTGGTAAAATAATAAAATAAAATTATAGTCAAAATGGATTCAACTTAAACTGGGCTTTACAGTAGCTCTTGTACAACCACATCTGTTGGAGAAAAGAAAACCAAGGATATAGTGGTCAAAGATGAATTTGAAATACTTTTGTTTGACCTTATTAATGTCTCCAAGCACCACTTCTTTGACTAATTCAACCTCATAACATATTTTAACCCCAGTGTGTGTACCTGATATGAAACTCTATGCCCACAGCATTACAGTGTTCAGATTCAAGTATCTTGTTCCTGCTCGTCCTCTGCCATTACTGGTTCTTGAAGGTCGATTCGACCTGTAAATTGTAATAGTAGAAGGAATTCATGATCAAATAAAGCTCATATTTCCAGCTTCTGCAAAGATGCAATATTGTTCTTGATATGCTAAACTATTCTAGATACTATAGAAAGATAAGTTTTGGGGAAAATTAAATAATGATATATATTGCTTCCTGGTAAAACGAGAGCAACTAGCTGGTTTTTAATGCCACATGAGGCATGTATAGTAAGCACTCGGTGAAGAAGATACATTTTTTGCATCAATCGGCAACCAGCCATACTCGGACCATAAATTGCCTGGTAATAGTGTTCTTTGTCTTTGGAAGACTATTTCATCGATGTCTTACTATTCTCGACAAAAACAATAAAAGGTAGAATAAGGAACTTTCTTCCTCGTATTGGTGAGGATCTTTCAGGAATATATATAGATATATCTCATACCTAGCAAGGAAATGATAGAAGGGGCTTTTGAAGGTCCGTTGGATCTTATATCAGTTCCTGCAATGCATACGGAAAATTATGATTCCAAAACAGTTGCATGTTTGTCAACTCATGATGCCATCATAGAATAGTATACGAGTACAATCGCCGAAACTGCAGCATTAGAACCTCTGTCCCAATACAAGTAAAAAGCAATTCCGTATTGTATAAAAAAGAAAAGAAATACCATAACTTATGAGTATTAGATTTATAAAATGAGAAAAAGATGCCTGCTGCTTTGCAGCAGAAAGAATATTCTCAATGGGAAGGCATTGACATTTAATCTGAACTCACCAGGAAAAAAAATGAACTGCGAACTCTACCATTAACCGAACTGAATCAGCTTCAGCCTTTAGTGAAGATACAGCACTAGGGCTTCTTGTTAAAAAGAAGAAGAAAAAAATGCACTAGAGCATATAAAGAAGTATACCTGAACTTTCAAGTGACTTAACGATGTCTGATTTCTTAAATGTAAATCCTATGAAATTGTTATCTTTTGATGTCAACATCTGCACCATCAAATGAAAAAAAAAAACATATCAAAACGTTTCAAAATCGTTCTAGAAAGAAAATGAAGATTGGAGAGAAAAAGGCCTTTACCTTCCTCCAAGGTCCCACTTCTGGCATTGAGGAGGGAGGGCCATCAATCTACCAAAAAGCAAAAAGGTAAGAAAAATTAATTTCACTGAAAGGAAAAAAAAAATGAAGACAGAATTTAAAAGTTCCATTAAAAATGAAAAAATATTTCCAATTTATCTGAGAAACAAAAACTTAAAGGTGAAAACCTAGCCGTTTGCCACATTTTAGTTAAAATACAATGGAGATTCAGCTATCAATTTATAGAAACTCTCAATATTCCATTGGGAAAGAGACATTAAGTTAGAAGTGCTTGAAAGTTCAAAGTAGGAAGGATATCACGAATCTTGAGAACTGTAAACACTTTATCACCCCCCCATTAAACGGTATAACTCTGATACATTAGCTTTTATTTATTTATTGAGAAGAAGATTAATTAGGCATTTAAAGTACTCACTTCAGGGAACTTCTCAAAATTTTGAGTGTCCAAATCCCCATTGACTGTTGGCTTATATGCAGCTTCAATCTCATACAGCTTTTCCCACTGAACACCTTTGAACCACGGATGTTCCTGATAAATTTCAAGACCTCAAAGTTATAAATGAACAAGTACAAGATTAAAATCTAGATGCAGATGGTGCAACTAATTTGTCAATCTACAAAATTAAAATCTATATGCAGGCTTCGGTCGGGAGAAATATGTTTACTTGTAATGAATGCTTGGTGCAAAAGTATCTGGCAACTAAAACAGGTACAAAAAACAAAAAAGGGACCTCTTTAAATTTAAATATATAATAATTAAAGAAACATTTATTATCACTGAAAGGACTTACCTTCAATTCTTCTACTCCTCTGGTTCCCAGGCGGATTTCAACATCACATAGAAGGTGACATATTAAATCCTTAGCCTCAGCAGATATTTTTGGTTCCTCTGGGAATTTCAAGCAGGCTCTCCAGTTGATGATCTGTCCAAGATAAAAATATTAGCATCTAGTGAAAAAGGAGGATAACAGAATAACTAAGAACTAAAAACTAGGTGCTGTGCCACCTTGCGGCATGTTATCCGAGGATCATCAGAACAAAATGGAGGATAGCCTATGAGCATCTCATACATGATTGCTCCAACAGACCACCAATCACACTCCATCCCATAACCCTTCTTTAATAGAACTTCAGGAGCCATGTAATCAAGAGTTCCAACAGTTGAATATGCCTGCAAAAGCCAGACATTAGCTGATACTGAGTGTAATGACATACCTGCTTAAGAAATGCAACCAATGTAAAATCTGAATCGTATAAATGTTGTAGTTGTTCTTTTGGGATCAACCAAGGGGGTTACGTTTCCATTGTTGTAAAGATAATACCAATGCACGGCGGTTATGTTTCCATTGTTGTAGTTGTTCTTTTGGCATCAACCAAGGGGGTCTTTCAGATCCAGACTGGATTTCAGCTTCACTGGCATCCTGGGAAGTTAAATCTTCATCTTCCAACAAAATTGTTGAATACTTTTCATCTAGGGGTTTACACAAGCCAAAATCTGAAAGCTTTAAATGCCCTTTCTTATCTAGTATCAAGTTATCTGGTTTAATGTCCCTACAAGAAAAACATGATCAAGAATAAATATCTGCAAAGACATTTTTCAAGTATTTTAAGTCCCCCATTTATTCCGCAACTAGTCAAGATTCTCTCACTGATTACAGTCCACATGCTGATTTACATTCAAAAACATCGTTATCTTAGAAACATATTAACGTAACACAATACCTGTGTATATAGTTGTGTTGGTGAATCGAATGAATAGCCAAAATGCTCTCTGCTACATAGAAGCGTGCTACATCTTCAGAAAGAATATCTTCCCTCATTAGTAGTGTCATGATATCACCACCAGGTAAATACTCCATAATAAGGTACAAGAAGTCAGAATCTTGAAAAGAATAGAACAGCTTTACAATGCACCGGCTATCAACCTCGGCAAGTAAGTTTCTCTCAGAACGAACATGCTCAACCTTGAAACAAAATAAAGTAAAAAGTAAGGCTAATAATTTAACTTGCTGTATGGCTTTTATCATGACCCACCAAGAAAATGTACGAGTTGGACTCATAAAGACCCTAACCGTTCCATATCAAATAGAATTAAGATTTTTTTTCAATGTCAAATTAACTATTTGCCAACTGCCAAAATCCAGTTATTACCATAATACCATAATAAAAGATGGTTACACGAAACGGAAGTAGGCAATAACCTTGCAAATAATGCCCGCTTAAAGACATCCCTAAAAAGGATAATGGCCACTTTTAGGCATCTAACAATCTTTGTGATCGTATGATTAAACCAACAACCAAACCACTAAGAACAAAACAAAGCCTGTATGTAATAAAGGATTGATACAATCAACAAAGCTTACTACTTCGAAAGTGTATTATTTAGATGGGTTACCTGTCCACGACTAAGCATCTCTGATTTCTTTAACTTCTTCATGGCAAAAATCTCTCCTGTATTTTTAGCACGACATAACCTAACCTGCGTTTGTTGCATTGAAACAGTGGTAAGTGTCAAGACATGTATGTAATTATCTACATTTGCAATTTCTATTAAACCATAGCTGAAACCAGTTCAAAAATCCCCATTGAGTTCAAAAATCACTGAAAATGTTAACCAAGGATTGAGAGCTCTAACACGACAAACATTTGAAATATACCTCACCGAATGCACCTTTTCCAATTACAGTTAATTGTTTGAAATCATCAATTCCAACTTTACGTCTTTGCAGCCTCATATATTCGGTTTCTCTCCTCTCCAAATTCCTCATCATTTCCTCTTGTTCCTCACTCGAAACCTGAGCTTCCTCAGCCCTCCTTTGCAGTGCTCGTCGTCTTAAACGGACAACAGTTAATATCCAATATAATTACATTTCAATTCTAAAAAAACGGCCAATAAATTTCATCTAAGCTAACCATATCCACCACTTAACATCATAATTTCAATTATTACCTAAATAATTCAACTGAAAATTAGCAAAATATCAAATTAAAAGAGCACATGGATATTTAAATGCAACAATAGTTTGGACCATCGGAATTACCTTTCTTTGCGCTCGTGTAATCCTTGAAGGTAGTTCTTGTAATGATTCTCAATGAACTGTTTAGCGGCGGCAGCTTTTTGCCTGGTTACCGGCGAAGAAACGGAGACATCCGGATCCAAAGCTATGTCTCGACCAGCTTTTAAAGGTCCTAATCTTACCGTCCCATCTCCACCGTCCATTTTACCTCACGAAATTTCGATGGGAGTTTTTTCTTTCACCAAATTCCAAGCTTCAACTTCCAACTAAAAAAAAGTAAATAATAACCATTTCAAATACAGAAAAGGGGCTGATAAATGAAGCTTGATCGGTGTCACAGTATCGAGGAGATATCTAAGAGCTGTCACCTGTCAGTTGTTTGTGAAAATGGCTAGAAGAAGATTAAAAAAACAATAATAATAAAATTAAAAATTAAAAATGAACTGGCAAACGTTAAGACGTGAGCAAGTGCCTCGGCGAGCGCCAGGTAAATCTATAAATACTTATGAAGAGCTTTGAATTGCAAAGTTTAAAACTGCTATTGTTTCCTTGTGTTTGGAATTGTCTTTCCAAGTTGTTTTACGATGAACTGAGTGCACTCAACGGCCAACGCCATCGTTTTTCTCGTATGAACCTGATTCTTCAAAATCGTTTTTAATTATTTCTTTCGTTTTCAGATCGAACGCAAAGAGAGAAGAAAATCTGAAAATATGATTTTGTGAACTGGCTACAATCTGCAGAGTCGGCGGAGATCTTAAGAGACGAAAGTCGCGGTGAGTTTCTAAGATTTTCCCCCGCGTCAATTGCACGCGCCTTGATATTAATTCCACGGTGAAATTAAATGTATTGGCTAATCATGGTGACACCGGCGCATATCATACTGCGTTTTATAGCTAAAAAATGTTTTCTCAAAAATAATTTTTAGTTGAAAAATATTTTTTTAAAAATATTTTTTTTATATTTTATGTTTGATAATTAAAAAATATTTTTTGAAAAATATTTTTTGATGTTTGATAGTTGAATTTGGTTGTATGAAAAATATTTTTCATTAATTGATAATTGTAATTAATTTTTTGAATTTAATTAATTTTTCTAATTTTTTTGTATTTTATGTAAATTATTTTATATGAAATATTTTTTTAACTTTTCACTTTAAACAAATATTATTTTATACATTTAATATTAATATTATTTTAATAAAATATTAATTATTAAAATATTTAATATACATATAATATAATTTTAATAATATTATATTTTTAATATTATATATTAATATATACTTAGATATATTATAATGATATATGATATTAAATTTATAATTTAGTAATATTTAATAAATTATTAATATTTATATATTATTTTTATAAATATAATATTATTAAATTACTAACAATGAGTAATATTAATTTATATATTTAATATTAATATAAGAATTTAGTATTATGTTAATAAAATACTAATAATTAAAATTAATGGTGTTCAAATGGTTAATTTAACCATCTATCGAATTGAATTACTATTAACCAAATAAATTGAACTTTTTAATCGTTAATCGAATCAATTTTCTTTTTGAAAATATTAACCGAACATAACTTTTTTCATTTTTTTGTAAATTATTTTTCTATAAAATTAACTATCGCGTATCAAATAATTAGTGAAAATGATTTACATACTATCATCAAAACACCATAAAATAGTTTTTGAAAACTATTTTTCAAAAAATATAATTTATTTTACGTAAAACAGTTTTCATGTAATTCATTTTACATAAAAATAATTTTCGAATAATCCATTTTACGTAACTTACTTTTAAAAAACTAATTACAATCTATCAAACAGTTACTAAATAAATTGACAAATCATGGTGGCACCAATGCATGTCCCCGTCGTACGTTTAATTTTGATAGGGAAGTTTCCCTACTCACTTACCATGTTAACTAACCCCTATATTGTTATATCTATTGATTAAAATAATTCAATTACAACATGGTCCTCTGCTGCTTCAGTGTAACGACAACGCGCCACGTGGTTCTTCATGTGAGACCTGCAAAATTATTAGGGATGGCAATGGGTCGGGTCGGGTCGGGTTTTTGGGCCACCCGACCCGAGAAGAAAGGGTTTTTCACCCGTGACCCGACCCGATCCGACGAAATTAAGGTTTCACCCGACCCGACCCGACCCGAATATATGACTTAGAAACCCGACCCGACCAGAAATAATAATAAAAAAAATTTTATTCAATAAAAAACAGTGACTTAATTGAAAAAAATTATATATGGAGGGACATTATTGTAATTATCCCTAAATATATAGGATAAAATTATATATATTTTTCGGGCCGGGTCGGGTCGGATTTTTTCACCATAAACCCGACCCGACCCGACCCGAACAGTACATTTAAAAAAAACCCGACCCGACCCGAACCCGAAATTTTTTTAAAAAAATCCGACCCGATCGAGTCGGGTCGGGTCGAAACCCGTCGGATTCGGGTTGAATTACCATCCCTAAAAATTATGGAGTAATATGCTTAAATTTATGGTTTTGGAATCAAGGGGTTATATTTTTAGCGTTCTAATTGGGGAACTTTTAATATATAATTAAAAATTATATTATTATTTTTGTTATTATTTAAATAATAAAATTAGTAAAAATTTATTTAAAATATTATTATTTTTACTTAAAATATTAATATTTTTTAATATTTTCGATAAAGTACCCAACAATAATAAAACAGGTAAAAAAATAATAAAACTGATATAAATAATAATATTTTGGATAATTTTTTATTAATTTTATTATTTAAATAATAATAAAACACCGGAAATTGGCATAAACGATGGGGAACAAACAAATACAACCGAACCAGATTGAAGATATCATGGCAAAGCAACTTGAGGGTCAGCAAACAGATTCAGAATATTCTATTTTGGAAAATATTGCAACTTCAATAATATCGACGGGCTGAAGTTTAATAATAACAATGGTAAATATCGATATTTTTTTTTATGTTGTCTGAGATCTTTAATATTTAGTAATTTCATTGTATTTTGATTAAATTCAAACCAAATCTTTAATTAAAATACACATACCTAAACACCTAAAAATTAATATAATAATCAATCTCTAAATTATGAACGCATAACTCCTATATTCAAAATTCATTATAGGTCGTTTTGGATCAACATGCATGCAAAACTCTAACCTTTCATTTATTCTTTGAATTTCTATTTCGCTTTTTTGTTTAATTCTCGAATCAGACTTCATTTTAAATCAAACGAATTAAATTAAATGAGATATTAATATAAACTCTTAAATATGCAATAAGATTTTCTTAAAAAATGAAATTATGATCAGATGTAAAGATTTCTCAATTTCAGGATTCAATGATATTAGAGATAAAGTATTCAATTTAGAGTAAGATGGGATTAAATATAATTTAGTCGATCTGCTAATTAAGGGCATCGATGAGAATAAGTCTTTACCCTATTAATTAATAGATTCATAGCGGACGTCAAGTTTAATTTTTAAATTTTCACGTGGTCAAACACAGACATGTCAAAATTCATAGTGTATATTTTTATTTATCTCTATGATAAATAATGTACATGCATAAAGTCGAACATTTACTCTTACTGAATACATACCTTAAAATTTGGATGGTCCTATTGAGAAAAATTAAATTGATTCTTTGATGTGAAACGACGAGTTCATTTAGAGAACGAGAGGATCTAGTGAGAAGAATTTGATGAACTCACTTATATGAGATATTGAGTTTTTTTTAAATAAATTTATATCCTAGAGGTTGGGTGATATTTTTTAAAGAACTTATTAAATTCACAATATTTAAAATTTGAAAAGATAAATTTACTAAAATGATTTTTATGATTTCATAGTTTTAATTCAAGTGGTCTATATTAAAATAGATTTGATAAAATCACACACACAAATATTAATAATTAATCATCTTCTTTAAAAAATATTATGTCGTCTTTTTAAAGTTATTAACGTTTAAATATTACGAAAGTCATCAAGCCACCACCAAACAGGGGCAAAGCTATTTGTAATTTATATGGGTAGCTAATTTTTAAAAAAATATATATATAGATAAATACTTATTTAGATTTTGAAATTTTGATTTATGTTAATTTTATCCCTTTTATATTTTATTATTAATTATACTTTAGTTTTTATTTTTTATTATTAATTATACTTTATCCACTTCCACTAAAATCCTAAAATCTTGACTCCCTAGCTGCCCCCAAATCCAAGGAATATGTTTCTTTATGGATCAGCTGTATTTCATTCGTTTCCCACTTCTCTTTGGACAAAAAGAAACAAACAAAACTAAAAGGCCTAATTATAAAATAAATGTTAATATTGTACAGCTTTTCATGAATATGTATATAAATTATTTTTTGAATGATTATGACGCATAACGTTACAAACGTTACCACTTTATATTCCCAGATCGTAAACACCATTAATTTCTTTCGTTAAATGACACATGTCACATTCTGGTAATTTGAAATTTATTTATTTTTAAAAAATTAAAAATATTTTTATATTTAAAAAAAATCATAATTTCTCTTCACAAAAAAACTCCAAATCTCTAACTCTAACCCCTTGCCGTCCCTCTTTCCAACCACGATCACTATCGTTGATGTACTCCCTGCCATCCTCCTAGTCATACGTCGCTTATATTATGTGTTAGCCCTCTTTTTGAACTCTGCGATGGACTCTGTCGAGAAGTGGAATATTCTCTCTAACGGCTTTGGTGCTTCAAATCTGCTGATAATTAACTATTTTCGTGAGCGGAAGGGAGTTTAAGCAATGGTCCATAGCCCTCTGGGATCCATTTCTCAAACACTGGGGGCGTGAAATTTTCACATTATCTTCTTGAGATTGAAATATTTCTGACAATGCGTTGAATAAATGTCAGAAAGAGGTTCCATCGCCAAGAGCATGGTTCACAGAACAACATATTAACATAATTTAGGATTTTAAGTTACGAGTAAGGTATATAATGATACAATTAAATAATTTTGAAGACTAAATTGAAGTGAAAAATAATATATGGATGAAAATGATAAATTAGATCTACCATAGAAACAAACGTGACCCTTAAGCCTTTTCAAAACTATACCCAACATTTAGTTTAGATTTCATGTTGGTATTTTGCCGTTAAAAACTTAACTACGATGTTAACATATCACCAAAAGGTTATGATATCTCATCATCTAAAAAATTAAAAAAAATATCACATCAATAGTTCTATGAAGTTTAAGGGCTTATTTTATTGGCTTAAATATACAAAAGGTGCCCAATATATGCTTATTTTTTCAGTTTAGTGTCTAACGCTTTTTCGTTCTAGTTTGGTGTCTAACGTTTCATTCCATTGCTCAAAATGGGTCCAGTCATGACGTTCCATTAAGTTTGGCCGTTAACCCATTAAACATGTCAGCTGACATATTTTTTAAGGTAAATATATAAATAATCTCAAACTTTTAGGGCGTTGCATTTTGGTCACCCCGTTAAATTCCTTATTCTTCTTCTTCTTCTGTAACCGTTTCCCGATAATGGTGTGCACCACCACCACCAAAATGTTCCCCACCGTCCCTCGACCAAAATCCCTCTGGTTATTCACCGCAAACCACTGTGGATCGTTGTGGGTGGCCCTTTGAAGCTCCGTAAAAAAACTTAAAAAGCCAATGTT